TGCCCCACATGAACTCTTAGATTATCCTGAGCTCAGCACACACACAAAAGAACTTTTAACAGCAAAGACTCGCATGTTTAGTCAATCTTGTGTTTGGCTCCTGTCCATTAGAGTAGTCATCTAATGTATTGTCTAAAATAGCAATTTCTTAACAAAGGGGGCACTATCAATAATTATGCTGGGAAAATAGGAATAAACCAGAACTTTCTTACACGACCTGGAACTGTGGTCACCCTGCTCAATATGCCACATCCACTAATGACCTGATGACAGAATCTGCCATTGGCCCCTGGAAGTTGTCCTGGGAAGGAGGTTTGTCCCATTTCTACCCCTGGGGCATGCTTGGTTCCTCTCATGTTAATGTTCCTGCCAGACTGCAAAGAACCCACACGGTTCTGTTCCTTCTGGGACTCCAGCTCTCCTGCTCCCTTCTACCTTTCACAGGTGCCTCTAAGCATAAGCCTCCCAAGGACCATCTTTAATAGTCAGAGATGATGCAGGTAGCTGTCAGACCTGGCCGTCTGAAATTCTGGGGACCTGGGGAGTAAATGACAGCTGTCTTTGAATCCCTCCATTTCTTCTGCTTGTGTTCTCCTCTTTCAGAGACCCTTCTAGGTAATTCAGGTTAAAGAATTTGCCTCTCCTTTTCTTTAAGCTGATTGGGTTACCCCTTTATGCAATTAGAACTTTGCACTTTCTGGGGCGGGGGTGGTGACTCATGGCTCAGGTCACGGCAGGACACTACCACTGAAGACCGAATCACTTTCTACAACCAGTGGAAGACATATCACTGGGGCAATAGTAAGTTCTCCACTTGGTATTTGGAGAGGGAACAATGAAAGTTTGGGGGCATTTCAAATAATGAAAGAAGAAGCAGGCTTTTGAAATACAAAGATATAAATCCCTTTCTAGGAAGCAAATTATACCTCAGGAAAAAAGGGAGGAGGGGTAGAGGGTAGTAGGATGGTGGAAGGAGTTGTTTAATGGATAGAGAAAGATCCAGAAAGGTGATCCTCAGATCTCTTACATAAAGCCACCCATCTACTCATTAAAGATGAGAGGAAAAGCCAGTTGGCTTTATTCTTCTGACAAAGATGCGCCAACGTGGCAGAGGGAGGAGGTAGGAAGGTTGGTAATGGCTCATGCTCACTTCCCATGCGGCCGAAAGAGTCCTATCTCTCTTTATCAAGAGGCCTTGCGGGAGACTTGGGGCGTATGGTTGTGACAGAATCTACAGTGGCAGGGAAAAGGGAGAAGAACACAGAGGAAAAGGGGCTGATGTATTATTTACAGCTGGAGAACTTGAACAGAGCAGACTGCAGGGGTCGGCCCGAAGACCTGTGTCTGTACAACTGTGGAATAAAGACATCTCTGAATTCTTGGTGTGCTCCTTCTGCTGCCAGGGCCCCCTGCCAGGGCAGGGCCGGCGTGCGTCTCCTCTCTCTGCCCTGTGGCAATCTGCCCTGCTACCCGTTACCTCTCCCCGTGGCCTGGAAGGGGTAAAGACCTCAACAGAAAGCCGCCTGGGCCTCTGTGGGTAGAAATCTCACTGCGTTGGCACAGAGGGCATCTCACTGGTGGTGACAGGTCTAATAAGCATGCAGATGGAAGACCCGCATGCACGCACACTCTTTCCTTTAAGTCACACAGTGGGCAGAGAGGAAGGATGCAGAGAATACGATCCGAAAGGAGCAAAAGGCTGCCGGCTCTGCGCTGAGCTCAGTAAGAACGGCAGGAGGACGGCTCAAGGAAACCAGAAGGAAAGTGGGAAAGCCCCAGGCCAAAGCTGCTGGAGAGCATGTGCCTTGGACTTCCCAGCTTCCTCTGGCTTCCAGCTTACATTTGCTCCATATGCTGCTTTACACAGCTTTCCGGGGCCGTAATGGGTTTCATTCCATAGTTTTTATACTAACATGAATGACTCACATCTGCTCCAATACCCAATTTCCCCTGTAATGTCTTCGGCTGTGAGGACAGAACGGCTTACACAGAACTTGCCAACGACGAGGCGTAGCAGAGAAGAGTCCTGATCCAGGGCCGAGGAAGGTTAGGACCCTCTGTGCGTGAGCCGGAAGGGCCTTTGAGAAGTCATGACGTTACTGGTGGGGAAACTGAGACCCAGAGGAATGAGGAACTTGCTCAGGAATATCAAGACCAGGGAGGTAGATCCATTTTAGGGCACTGGGATATTCCTAATTCCTTATTCCTAATGAGTGTACTTGTTTAATTCCTCTTATTTCCTGCCATGTTAAATCTTTTGCTAGGAGCTTTTCCTTCCCATATAAGCTGTGATGAGAAAAAAGTAACTTGGATTAATCACCAATGATATCTAATGCCCCACTGGGATCAACTCTGTTCTGCATTACTTAAGCTGGTTATTAAGGTTTTAAATATCCGCCAGAGCGGGGGGGGGGGGGGGGACCCCGTGCTGGGTCCTGGGAGAGACCTACGGGGCTGGGTCCTGTGTGGGGACTCACCTGGCTTCCAGGTGTTCGAAGTCCCATCTGAAGTGGATTTCAATCCTGATCTTCTCCACTTGAGTAGAGGACAAAATAGTGATTCAAGAAGCAAACACCTGGGAAGGCAATCCCTGCTCTCCCAGGCATTGCAGGCCCTGCGTGGAGCTGCCCTGGGAAACCCAGGGCCTCAGTTTCCCCAGATGCCCAATGGAACGAAGCCCCTCAGTCCCTGGGCAGCAGGCAGTGTGGTGCCGCACCATCTCTAAAGCTCGGCGGTTGTGTAACTGTCGGCCATCTGTTACTCAGAAGCAGCATCACAAAGCGCTGAGCAATGGACTACGCCGTGGTGACAGCATCTCAGCGGCTTGCCTGGGGGTCCCCTGCAGAACCTGCCACAGCACGCTGTGCTGGCCCGAGTCTGCAGGTCCAGGATGAGTCCCCTGGAAGAGATCCAGGGAGCTCAAGATACTGCAGGGATGGGTTCTCTTTCTGCTCCCCTCACCCCTCCCATTACAGCGATCTACCTGGATTTTTGCCCAGCCAAAGCGGCGGCTGGGGAGCCTACCCTGGCCTTTCCGTGTACAGAGTTCTAATAAAGGCGAGTCCTGGACACCCTCCCACCCCAGGTTCTATGTGATGGTCTGAGAGTTCAGCTGAATCTTAAAATGGGCTGCCAAGAGTGCTCAGCATTTTCTGGGCTGTTTGATTGCCACCTCTGTTCCCAACCGGAAACTTGTTATCCACAGCCTGGTCAAGGACTCCCTGGGGCCGTGAGGCAGGACTGCCCTGTGGCTGAATGACAAGGCACCAAGCACAGGGGGCTTTCGGCAGATTCCTCCCTATCTGACTCCACCTCTTGGGGGCTCCACTTTACTGGAGAATGAATTCCAAAGCCCTCCCTGCTCCACACCTGTCCCACCTCCAGACAGGGTGCGGTGGCTTCCCCTCTGCCGAGCTCTGTGGGGAGAGGCAGGTGGATGGCCGCTATACAGTGGCAAGTACATCATCCTCACCTTCCCCAGCAATTTGATGACATAAGCACCCCTCCAGCTAAGGCTGCGGACATTAAAATGGCACAGTCTGGCAGCCACTGTCCCCCCAGGCAGGACAGTATTTTTCATAGCCCTCTTAGAGGGATCAAATGATCAGAATAACACCAGCACTTCGAATTCAATTCTCACAACTATTAACTCATTGTCAAAGGAGGTATTACCATCCCCACCATTGTACAGATGAAGAATCTAAGGCTGGAGAAAGGTAAAGGACTTGCCCAATATTCGCACGGCCAGTAAGTCTGACCCAGGCTAGGAACCCCTAGTCCATAGCACCATGATTCCAGCCTAGCGGAGGCCTACATGGGAATCCAATCCATAATTTGCTCTGCCTCTCGACCCAAATAGTTTGAAATTTGCAAAAAGGAGGAGAATGCACTTTCCAAGGGCGTTTGGAAAAAGGGGCTTTCCCAGGGTCATTTTCCAAGTACCCCATGTGGTTGGCGCGACTTTGGACCCCTGCTTCCTTACAAGCACAGAGCCCTGGTGCTTACGGGGAGAGCAAACTCTTAAGGGAGACAATCGCGCCTTAATTTTTAAAAAGACTTCCACCAGCTCAGCGTTCTATTAAGCAGAAAAAGTTGCCAGGCACCTGCAGGCAGGCATAGAAACACCCTGGGGAGTTGGCTGAACTCGGCCTTGGGCCTCACCGGCCGGGAGAGTAAATCACGCTTGGGGCAACAGCCCCGCCAGCGCCCGCGTGCCAAGGCCCCAGCGCCCCCGTGCCGCGGTCCCAGCGCCGGCTCCCGGAAGGCGGGTGCATTGGCGGCGGGCCCCGGGAGTGAGCGCCACGTGCAGCCCCCGCGGCGAGCGGGAAAGTCCTGCCATGCCCGGCTCGGCCGGGCGCGGGCCGGCCCGAGGTCCCAGCGGGCAGCTGGGGTGGCGGCGCTGCGGGGGCACGGTTCCTGCCGGGTCCCGCCCCAACCCAGGCCGGCCCGGGAGCTGCGTGCGTCTAGGGCTCGGCTCGGGCGGCCCCAGAGCAGCGCGGTGCGCCTCGGTCGGCGGGCGGCGGTAGCGCCCCCTCGCAGAACCCCGCTCGCTCCCGCCCGGGCTCCCTCGGAGTCGGTCTGTCGGGCCCACGCTCTAGCTTCGCTCCCTCCCCTCCCTCCTCCTTCGTGTTCCCCCCGGGGTGCCGGGCACAGCCGCGGATTCCTCCCTCCCCGCAGCTCGAGTCCGTTTCCCTCGCGGCGGCGGCGGCGGGCTAGGCGGCGGCGGCGGCGGCGCGGGGAGCATCTCGGCTGCCACTGAGCTTCTCCGGCGGGAGCGGGTGTCCAGCTTGGCTGCCCTTCGGTCCTTCCCTGCCGCTCTGCGCCCCGAGACCCCCGCCTCTGCTCGCTTCTCTCCGAGGCGGGCGGGGCGCCTAGCAGCTTCCCGCGGCCTCTGCACTCCGATCCCGGGGCCGCCGCTCTCCCGGACTCCTGCCCCTCCGACCCTCACCGCCAGGGGGTGCCCCAGGGGCGTAGCGTCGCGGAGAAGACGAGGCAAACGGGACCATGCGGCGCCTGACCCGCCGCCTGGCGCTGCCGATCTTCGGGGTGCTCTGGATCACCGTGCTCCTGTTCTTCTGGGTAACCAAGAAGAAGTTGGAGGTGCCGCCGGGACCTGAAGTGCAGACCCCCAAGGTACGGGCTTGGGCGGCGTGGTGGGCGCGGGGCACTGGTTTGCAGGAGTGCGCGCAACCCGCGCGCCGGGCTTGCGGGCTCCCGGGAAGCCGGGGCGGGGGTCTGGGTGCCGCGAGCAGGTAACGGGGGCGCCGGATGCGGCCACAGGGTGATATTTCTGGATTTAGAGAAGCTCGGGGCACGTCGGGACCCGCGGAGTGTGGGAGTGGGTGTGGGTGGCGGGCGCGCGCTCGCGGACAGAGCGGGGCGCTGAACTTGGGCAGCGCGCGGGGGTCCCGGGGCGGAGGGGGCGCTGCAGACGAGCCGCCTAGGGGTGGCGGCCCGTGGACGCCGCGGGCGAGTCGCGGGCGGTGGGGTCGGGTGGCAGGGCCGGCGGGTGCTGGCGCCCGCGAGAAGTCTGGCCGCCGCGCTGACCTCCTTCCTTCCCGCAGCTGCCAGGCCCGACCAGGGGAGGCCGGAGGCCCGGGGTGCGCCGCGCGCGCGTGTGCATCGCGGGCGAGCGCCGTGCAGCCTCCCGCACGCCTGCTGCTGGGGCCCGCCGGCCTGTCGTCACCCCTGTTTTCTGATTGTCCCCGAGCTCTCCAGCTGCGTGGGAAGTTGAATGTGCCCTGAACGCCACTGAGGAGCCTGTAAAAGCAGACGCCTTGGTGTTGGTGGGGAGTTGGGGAAATGAGAATAATCGAAGTGGCTTTTTTAACTCCTGCCCAGTCGGTTCTTCCAAGCGCAGCCAGAAGGTTCTCCCTTCGGGCACACTCTTACCTGTCATTCAGAACCCCCATTCCTCTGTGTCCTCTTCCACACACCTGGTCGCGGGACACAGAAGGAGGCCTCTGGGGGTTCCTGGCCAGCCAGGCACCATTTATGAACGGGGTCCAGAGCAGTCCTTCAGGGACTGGGAAAAAGCCCTTGGAGGAGGTTATGGTCTGAAGCAGGGGGCTAAAAAAACGGGGGGGGGAGGGGGAAAGAGGGGAGTCTCCCCAGTAAGTACAGTACAGAGGACCCACTTTGTGCCAGGTACATAGTGGGTGCTTCTTCATAAGTAATTGTATAAGTTGGTGGTATCCTAATTTCAAAGATTAAGCAGGTTCAGTTTTTGTACCTTGCCTTAGGTCACTTTGATTTGAACTTAGCCTCGGATATTCAGAATCTTTCCACTATATCAAGGTGTCTCTCAGATCCCCTTTTAGCTAAGTCTTCGGGCACTTATGTACTGGAATGTTGCTAACGCCCGGTTGAGTTCCACAAGCGTTTATTGGTGGTGCGTTGTGTGCCAGGCTGTGTGCTAGGGGCTGTGGGTACAGAGGTGCAGAACTTGCTCTCTGGACATAGGGGATTTGCTGAGGAAGGGGCCAGGACCATATTGTTCACTGAGGGCCAACAGAGCTCAGTGCACTGGGTGTCATGGGAGCCTGGGGACTTCCTGGAGGAGGAAGATAGACCAGAACTGAGTTGAGAAGGATGAACAATAGGTTTGCCAGGAGGTTGGGAGGGCGTTCCAGGTAGAGGTTAACTGTACCAAACAGGCTCAGAGGAATGACACAGCAGGTTGTGTGAGTTTGGCATAATTTGAGCATAAACCGTGTGGCTGAAGGCACGAATGAGGCTGAGGGCAGGTGTATAAGGGTCAGATTGGGTAGGACCTTGTGGGTGCTAGGAACCCTTGGAGGGGCAGTAAGCAGGAGAGTGTTGAGATCAGACTGGTGATTTCAAGCAGCCTTTGGAGCACTGGATCAGTTTTCTCACCTCAGACCTGCCGGTAGATCTGGAGAGCTTTTCCTCTTTTTCCCCTGGGGTGGGTCTGCAGTTAATGATGCCTGCAGGGACATGAACTCTCTCTGTTTTGCGTTGGACCTCATTACCTTAAGCTTACATATTCTTAGTTTACACCAAGGAGCTGGGACAAGAAATCTCTATCCCTCTTTTGTGCACTTTGTCTTTCGTCCTTACCTGCCTCCTCTCATTCTGGTGTGTGCTGGGCACACAATTATTGAAGGCAGCTCTCTGCTGGGCTCTGTGCTGGCTTTGGAGGATACCGTGTCCCTGCCCCTTTGCAGGGAGGTGGGGAGGCTTTCACAAATTCCTGGCTGAGGCAGAATTACAAACAAATGAGTAGTGGGTGGGGTGGGGGGAGTGGTCTAATATTGGAATTCTGGGCATAGTGCTGTCCAAGCATAGAAGAGGGGGTCTTCTAGTTTTGACCCCTTGCTTTCTGTCTCAATAACGTATTTCCTCTTACTCCCATTTTCTGTATTCTTTAGAAACACAAATTCTATAGACTTTAAAAATCTTGATGCCTTTTATTATTAGGCCCCCTTCTTAGTATATTACTCCTTTGTGTTTTTTCACCTGCTTGTATGACTTCGCGTGTCCACCTACATGTGTTGTATTTGTGAGTGTATTTGTGTCTGGTGTTTGTATCTGAGGAAGGAGATGGAGAGACAAAGAGTCCTTAGCGCCAGAACAATTTTATTGCTGTGACTGATCTATTTAGGAAATGTGCACGTCCTGTCCAGGAGGAGTGCGGTTGGTTCCCAAACCTGACTGTGCGTCAGAATCCCCCGGTGAGCTCGTTTAACGTACAAGCTTTGGGGTTTATTGCAGTGATTATGATTCTGGGGGTTTGGGAGAAGGTCCTAGAATCACTGTCTTTACAAGTGTTCCATGTGAGTCGGAAGCAGCCTATTGATGGATAACGTTTGGAGCTAGATGAAGAATACTGAGTGTGTTGATTTTTTTGTAGTTTGCTCAGCCCCATGTAAATATGGCCGAATGATTTCATTCTTCTTGAGTTCCTCAAGGACTGAGCTTGTGTGAGCATGTGCACTCATGTAAAATAACAGTAGCTAGTATTTGTGTAGTGCTTTACAAATTCACAACCTCTATTTCATGCATATTAGCTCATTTAATCTCCACAACAACCGCATGGGGCAGGTAATACTTTTATGCAGACAAGACTGGTTGATGAAGTTACACAACTGGACCAAGATAATGAGGTTATTATTAAGTGGCAGCGTCAGGGTTAAGAATGGAATGGGGATCACTTTGGGAACTGCCCCCGCACAGACTCCTTCTATGGCGCTATGCTGTGTGCACTGCCCGGGTCTACACTTGTGGGTGATGGGGGGAGGTTAGGGATATTTATAGCCTGTGTTTCCCAACCTACTTTCCAACATTTCCACGGCTCAACCCTAGGCGCTTGCCTTTGGAGAGCTCCAGGGAGGGCAGAGGGGACTGGTGTAATTTGTGGGGGAACCACCTTGGAGGGAAATCCTGCTCTGCCCTTGGAGGAGGCCAGCTGGGGCAGAGGAGGCTCCCTTGACGGGACAGAGTGCACCCTGGTGGGGAGGGTCCCATGGGAGGTTGCATCCAATGGTTGGAGCACCACTGGTTTAGGAATCATGGCCAGGATCGAGATCGTTTCCTCAATAGTAGGGATTCGGCTGGGACATTTGTCTATTGTAGGGAAAAAACTCAGTTTTGAGTGAGTGTAGTACCCTAGCTTTTCCTAGGAAATGTTCATTCATAGTCCTGGGGAGAGCTCTTGCCTTGGGCATGTGGAAGCCTTTCGGGAAGTTTTCATCCTACCTGGGCACCTTCCTGCCGTGGGAGAGGGTGTCAGCTTATTTTCCAAAGCACAGGCTGTGGACTCCCTTCCCTTAAAACTATTTAGAGATGTCAGGGGATTGGTGGAGGGACTGGAGACTGTGGCCGGGGCTTCTGGGCCGGGGACCCCTCTGTGTAGATTCCATGTAGCAAGTTGCCTTCCCTGGGGTCTGGGACAAGCTCTAGTTCCCAGGCCCTTCCTTGTCTCCCCTCCCAGAGTTGGGAAGCATCCTCATTCACCTAGTGATGGGGTCTCCAAAGTGGGCCTGATAATAAAAGAAAACCTATGCCTTGTCACAAGCCAGCTGATGTGGAGAAGGCATGCTGCACTCCTAGTTTAAGGAAATTAATTGGATTTCTTTCTTTCTTTCTTTCTTTTTTTTAGTTCCAAGAAGGGCTGGTTCTATTAATAGCTCAAGTAAAGATTTCTTTAAGTTTGACTTTTTAATGTTGATTTGATTCTTTTGCCAGGTCCCCCACCCCCAAATTCTGCAGAACTCTAATTCCTAATTGAAAATCATATAACAAGTTGGATGTCTTAATTCAAACTGTATTTCAGTGATAAATACTGTACCATTAAAAATACTGAAAAACTGTTTTTATTTCTTCTCTCCCCTATCATTTGTTTGCCATTTGGAGAATTATACAGTAACTGACAGAATTAAAAGAAAAAAAAAACAGCAAATTTGTCTCTGACTTCCAAGAAACTAAATTTAGTCCAGGGGCTTAGGGCTTAGTCAAAGCAAAAGAATTTGAGGCCTGAGGTACTTTTTGAGGAAGGTACTGGAAATGTAAAGTCTTTGAATAAAGTGCCTCGGGCCCATGGAGATATATTTGTGCTCTACTAGAAATATAGCAAACACTATTAGAAAAGAGCTTGTCTTTCTGTAATATTTGCATACCACAAATGCTTTGAGTATATGACACTGCTATTTTATTCCCCATTTAGTAGATCATTTCTCCCATTAAAAAAATTATGAATTTTAGAGAGAGAGACCCTATTAATCTGCTGATACTCAGTGCATGTATATTGGACTCTGTCCAGGGAATTTTGACTCTGGCATGACCAGAAGTAGCCCACTGTCAGATGAATGTTCATCCTTTCATTCACTCCTGTGTGCTGGTGCCTGTGCCCTGTGCTGGGCTGTCTTCCCCTCTGCGGAGGTTCCTAGAGCAGATGGAGGGTAGTGTTGCCTTGTGGTCCAGCAGGTGTTGCTATAAGAGGATGGGAAATATGAAAAGTAGCAGGTTGGAATGTCAGGTGTCCAAGAAATGGCATATCTTTGCTTTGTAGATATCAATAAGCTGCTTTAAAAACAAAACAAAACAAAAAACCCTGAGATCTCCCCCAGCCCCCAAATTCCAGGCCATTAGGCTGGTGGGAATCTCTCCACCTG